CATGCTATTTTTTAAAGATTTTAAAATTTTGTCAATTTTTCAAGTCTAGGATCATATTCCATCTATGAAAATGCACCCGTCATATATTAACAATCGTGTTTAATAGATTTTTTTCTCATATTTATAACTGAAATTTTCCCGATTTTTTGAGATTTTTTTTTAATTTTAAAACGTTAAAGGGACTAAATTTCAGATCCGAATTCTGTGAAACAAAGTACATAAAAATCATACTCAATCTGAATCCAAAATTTTTTTTATCTCGATAATTTCGATTTTTCATGATTTATTGCAATTTTTAAAAATTTTGACGGCTCAACGGGCTAATTAATGTTCAGATTCAGATTCAATGAATTGATATACATAAAAATCATACTTGATCTGGGTCCACAAAATTTGATTAATCGCTGTGACTGCAGTTTTTTTGCAATTTTTTGCCTTTTTTTGGGTTTTTGGATTATACTTAAAATTTTGAGGGTGTACGGGCAAAACTGACTTCAGATTCGGATTCAGCGCGTCAAAATACATAAAGATAGGTAGGCCCGGTTAAAAGTACTGAGAACTTTTTTTTTTGTGCCGGTGTTATCAACGTATTCATCGCGGAACATCTCAACGACCTATTAACAGCAAATATCAGTGACTTCGTCAATAAAAATTCTGTAGTGTTATTTGATCAGTTTGAATTATCTCAAGAGTGGCATTTTGATCCAAGAATATAATAACAGCTTAACAAAAAATGAAGAACAGGAGCAATATTTATTACGGGTTGTGAAATATCACAGCCGAAAGATTTTCAGTTGCATTAAAAGTTCTTTTGCACCGGCTTACTCAGTGGCATAGAATATAATTGAAAACTATTAAAACTTTTCTTCGATAATTAATTAAGTCGTCTAAAAAATTGTTTGAAAAAATATTTCTATAAATTACATATCGTTATCTAATCTAAAGAGGCTTTCTTCTAAACATAATTTTAGTATAGATCATTATCACGTCTGCGTAGTTCAAACATATTTGAATGACTAAAATAATCATTTCCCAAACGAATGCAAAACCAAAATTCTATTCAATAAACTGAGAGAATAGGTAATGTTTGACCTAGACCAATGGTAAGATATGCAAATTAAAGCTCATTTATCAAGCTTGCAGATGCAATCCACAAAAATTTTAGTGAATTGCAAACCCACGATTTGGACCGATTGGGACCAGTAGGTTTTAAGAAATCTCAAAAAAAAACTACGAAAAAAAATTTTTTCAAATGTGGTTTTTTATTAATAACTTTTAAACGGGTACACCGATCAATTCCAAAAACTAATCAGCTCTTAACATCGAAAAACCACGTCGATCGCCACCAAGCCGGTCAAAATCGGTTGATTCGTTCGTGAGTTATCGTTAACGACAAAAAGTGTTTTATTCGAATTACACTGAAATTTCCGGTCTGATCAATTTGTGTTCAAAAGTATATCATAGAATTTGAAAAACTGCGTCGAATGCCGCCAACCACGTGAAAATCGGTTCATTCATTCAAAAGTTATTGCGTTTGAAAATTCAAAAAATAGAGTTTTATTAAACTTCTATTAGACTTGTGAGCTCGGAGAGCTCAAAATTATACGAAAATTAAATTTTCGAGCTCGAAGAGCTCAAAAACGTAATAAGTTCAATTTTGAGCGCTTAATTATAAAAGTAGCGGGAAGTTGCAAGGATGGCCTTCAGGGTCAACCGTTTTCCTAATTTTTTTTTTCTTGGAATGGTAGTTTACTAAGTCTACTATCATTATCAATACATAAATTAGTTAATAAACAACGTGAATTTTTTAAAATTATCAATTTATCCAAACGCGTCGAATGGTTCAATCGATTCCCGCTCAGGGGCAATTAAACCAATAATATTTCAAACTCAAACCCGAACTTTTAATAAATAATATATTAATTGTTACTTGCTAATATTACTATTGAACATTTTTAATGCACAGTTATTATGCTAAGTTGTTAAGAGTGCAAGATTTTCTTGTTCAGTTACTTAATTATTTAAGTCTTTATTATATTTTATATTTTTATTTGCCGCTCAAAGCGACAACTAAATCAATATTGATTTGTACGGAGATAGCGTCGGTCTACGCGCAGGCTAGCTGCGCATACGACTCACTCTCCGGCTTGCTCGCTGTGGCTTGCACATCTTGTTGCTTGGACGCTTGACTGATCGTGTGCTACTACGTAGTTGCGACTCAAGTACTTTTCTTATATATATTGTTAACATTATAATACACATATTATTTGATATCTAAGATTGTTTAGAAGTGTTTTTATATTTAATAGAAGATTAAATAAACCTAGATTCAGTTTAAGTAAAACCTTGTGTTCCACTTTTATTTTATAAACCAGACATAAGTAAATGAAAAATAAATTTAAAAATAATTTTTATTACAAATTCAGTTCATCAAATTGTTAGGTTATTTTCCTTAGTATTTTTTACGTAGGTCAAGATGCGCGTTCATGTCTCATGCTTTTCCGTGATTCAATCGTCCCCGGGGCTGTTGGTTCAACTGAACTTATATAATTTTACGACACTTAATAGTAAATAATGAATAAATTAACTATTATATCAATATAAACGAAGTTAGGGATTATAAAGTATAAGCATATACAACTACTATAATTCAAACTTTATCAATTAATTAAAAAATTAAAATATTATTAAACAATTTGTAATGATTTTAAATTTTGATCATATCAGAGTTTAACATATTAGAATCTAATTCTAAGAGCATGAAGCATTTTTTCAATTTTTTAAGTCGAGTGGTTCAATCGCCCCGTGGTTCAATTGACTCCCTTCTCCCCTAAATGTATAATTTCTCATGATTTCAAGTCAAGAAATTAAATTTCATGCTTTTAATATTACGCTATTACTGGAAAAATAATTTTCTAACATGAGTGATTCCATTCATCAAACACTGAACTAGAAATAATTCAAACAGTTCTACGATCGTATAGTTGACGAGACAAATAGTATTTTACATCAAGTTTCATAATGTTGTTAGTAGAGTTGAAATTTTGAAGAAAAGTTCATACAAAAATATACTATATTTTCAGAAAAATTTGAAGGCCGTCTATTCATACGTAAAAAAAGTCCAGATAAATCCACGTCGCCTGAATGTAAGGGCCTTAAATCCACGCTGCGTAAAAGTAAAGAAACTTTTTCTCTTATACATACTAACGCGGCGTGGATTTATCAGGATTTTTAACTTCCCGCTAAAAATCTCAGATTTTCAAAAATCGGGAAGTTATTGTTTTCACCCCGTTTTGCAAAAATCGAGTTTTCATCAGATCTCGACGTTTGAAGGTCACAGGAAGCTTCCCTAACTATCCCCGCGAGGTTGTCACGGTGTCTGTATGTATGTGTGTGTGTGTGTGTGTGTGTGTATGTGTGTATGAAAGTATGTGAACCGCTTATAACTTTTAAACGGCTTGACCGATTTGATCGCGGTTGGCGCCATTCGAAAGGGCTTGACTTAGATTTCCTCGAAATTTGAACCGATTCGGACCAGTAAATTTTGAGAAATTGCCAAAAAACTACAAAAAAAAATTTTTTGAAAAGTGGTTTTTTTGGAATAACTTTTAAACGGCTTTACCGATCAATTCCAAAAACTAATCAGCTCTAAACATCAAAAAACCGCATCGATCGCCGCCAGTCCGGTCAAAATCGGTTGATTCGTTCGTGAGTTATCGTGAACGAAAGAAAACCGAAAAAAGTGTTTTTTTGGAATTACTCTGAAATTTTTGGTTCGATCAATTAAGCCTCAAAATAACTTATGAGGATGATAAAACTGCGTCGAATGCCGCCAACCACGTGAAAATCGGTTGATCCATTCAAAAGTTATTGCGATTTGAAAATTTAAAAAATAGTGTTTTATCAAACTTCAATCAAACTTTTGAGCTCGAAGAGCTCAAAAGCATACAAAAGCTATTGTTTCGAGCTCGGAGAGCTCAAAATAATACAAAAATTATATTTATGAGCTCGAAGAGCTCTAAAAGTCATAAGTGCAATTTCAAGCGTTTAGGTATAGAATTGGCGGGAAGTTGCAGGGATGGCCTTTAGGGTGAACCGTTTTTCTAATTTTTTTGCGTGAGAATAGAAACTTCTAAAGTTAAAAATTAAATAAATGCTATTTTAAAAAAATCAAATAAGTTTTAAAAAATGTTTAAATCACACGGATAACTCATTTACTCCGAGGAAATTTCACACTACATGGCCATGTAAAGTTCTCTGTATCCGTTTTTACACCAACATTTTTGAAAGTAAGATTCAATCAATTTTTATAGTAATTTGTGAAAATCTATAAAATGACTACTAGTCACTAAGTGTCATAAGTTTTAAGAAATCTCAAACATTGTAATTTTTCGTATAATTTTTTTTCTGTGTAAGCCGCTAAACACATATAAAAAAGAGTCGATTTCTTCCAAAAATATCGCCTACCAAAAATTTTAATAAAAAAGTTTTTTTGAAATAAATGCCTAATTTGTTTTCGAATCGATTTTTGGTAAAAAGTTGTCTTTTTGTGCTTACGAAACTAGGTCCAATGTTTTAAGCTTAAGCTTAATGTGGCCGGAAGGATTGACCATTTTTATAATTTTTGACATCAATTCTGTCGAAATCTGCTTAAAATAACGTAAAAATGCCCGAAACGCAGTTATATCTCGCAGTATATTCCTTGAAATAATACTCTTCAAGCACGAATTAAAATAAATACATACTCACCAGACTCACGTATAGATTACTTGGCTGCCACTCAAGCACAAGCCAAATGCTGCTTATGCCTTAACGCCTTTGTAACACTTTTTAGCTGAAATCTATTGTTTTCTAATAATATTTTCACCTTTGTCGAACGAAACCACTTCTATCGAATAAGCAAATTTTAAATAAAAAATTACAAATTTTTTAAATTAATTAATCCCTAGAAACGAAACTATTCATACAAATAAGTAACAACTGAAAAATGTTGATTAGATAAAATTATAAAATAAATATTGTTAAACATGTATAATTAAATTTTTGACATCAAGAAGAATACATTTGGTTATAATTTATCTTTCTTCTAAAATTACTGTTTCTTGTAAGCAAAATTTAAGTTCTGAGAGAGTGAGTGAGGTATCCAAAGATGTCAACTGAAACATTAAAAGAATTAAAAGTTGGTATTTAATTAAATTATTTTCTTACCAATCAAAAGTAGATACATTTTCAAGAGAAATTATAAAAAAAATTATTTTTTTCGAGTTTTAGCAATTTCCTTACAGTGATTAAAATATACTAATTTTTGATATATTTGAAATTTGAATCAAATACGGATATAAAAAATTTGAATCAAATACTGATATAACAGCAATGTTGTCATAATTTTTTTTTAAGTTTAGGGAGAATATTCAGTGAATTTTCTTTTTTTTTTTTTTCATATGATAATCGGTGTTACGTCTTCGAATTTTCAAGTCATTATTACATCCTATCCATCGTTTTATTCCCACAAATAAACAACTTTAATTCAACTTGTTGAATTTAATTGAGGTAAATTAAAATAAAAGACATTTATCAAACAAATAATCATTGAACCATTATTTTCAAAATGAATAACTATTTGTAGAATAAATTTTGTTACTAATCGACACATACACTTTTTCCAAACCGTGGTCACAAGTACTTAGTAACGGGAAATATGTTAAGTTACACTCTGATTAAAAAAAAGTATTGAAAAGTATTGAAAAAGTATGTAATTCAATACTTTTTCAATACTTTTCACACACTGTATATCTATATATACATACAATATAGATATACAGTTGCATGGTTCAACACTTTTTTTAAATCAGGGCAATCCCACCCATCAATATAAATTAAAAAAGATATTTCAATTAGGTACCTCACTCACAGTAAAAAGCTTATAAACTACTAAATAATAACAACAAAATCATTGTGAATTTATTTCACCAGCAAAGGAAGGGCCTATTAATTTTCAAACTGAAAACATTGTATTCTGAAAAACAGATAAATTTGTGCAAATTGTACGAAGAAGTTATAGCTAATAGAGGGTGACTTAACAGGAGGTTAATGGTAAGTACGAGATTCAACTAGCATGATTGTTGAGTTTTCAATTTGTAGATAATTTTTCAATTACATAATAAACATTCACTATCTCCATTTTCTCAAAAAAACACTCATGGAAGTTTACACACAGAAATATCTTTTTTTCTTTAACATCTTTGAAATTAAATTAACAAAAAGCTTAAAAAAATCAATTTATCTACTTTCGATTCGATATTTCTTATTTTTTTATCATGAAGATTTACTTACATCACGTCGAGGCCAGCTGGATAACACCTTATATTCATCAGTAGGATAGCCTTCCACGATAAGAAAGTTTAGAAGTATTTGTAAAGGAGTATCTGGTCTAAATTTACGTTCTAAGAATTTACCACCTGGTAATCGGATTTTAACCTTTAAAATATGATTGCCAGATTCTTCATCAGGTTCCGGAGGTAAGCTTAATTGTACAGCTTGTCTATGTGCTTCTTTTTTTGCTTCTTCAACTAATCTTGTATTTTCTGCTTGTTCTTTCTTTTTTTGCTCCAACTGCTGTTGTATCTGTTTTGCTTCTTCTTTTGCTCTAAAGTTAAATTAAAAGTTAAGCAAATATATGTTATTAAACGGATATTGAAAAAGCTTAACACAAAATTATAAAACAAACCTGTCAGCAGCTAAACTTTCTTGATATGCTTGATCTTGTTCTTGTTTCACTTTTTCTCTAGCTTGCCTTTCTTTTTCTGCCTCTACGTCTACACGTTTTTGCTCCTAAATTTAAGTTTCAAAATTTAATTTTCTTTACTTCGTTTCATAAATACAATTATAGAAAATTAACTCACTTGAAATATGTCCACTGCATGAATTAAATTAGTAAGCAGTTCATTGACTCCCACATTTCCGTGCACTATGGTGAAAATTTCAGTTGTTGATCGGGATCGCATGAGAATTATGAAAACAGGTAATGTATCAACATCAATGTTTCTAACAGCTTCAGAACCCACTATCCCTAATGACTGAGTGAAAGAAGATAAGAATCTAATACAAAAATAAAGTATATAGTTTCTAAAAATAAAACAAAAAATATTTTTTTATGTACAAGCATTTTTGAAATCTTACTTTTGCTTATTACTTTCATAGGTAAAATCCCATCCCCACACAACGAAGTTTGCAGATAAAAGCTGCAAAATTGTTTCACAGCCCAATAATTGTGTACAGAATACATTTGTCAATACACTATTATCGTGGTGCAGATATACGGCTAACAATTTTCTCTAAAAAAAATTACAGCAACAAAAAGATTATATTTATTAAGAATAGATCACTGTTCAATTTTGAATTTTTTGAGCACAAACCATACATTTTCATTCTTCAATTTGATTAATAACATTTAACCCTCTGAGGCTTCTGGGCGTTTCCCCCACTCTTGGTGAAACGCCCCCTTCTACATTTACTTAACACGCTCCCCACTCCGGTGCCACGCGGCTCATTTAGTCCCATCTCGGCCTCAGAGGGTTAAATAAATAAACTTACTTTTTCAACTTCCCGCTATGAAAATCAATGATTTTCAAAAAAGTCGAGGCATAGAGAGTCGATAAAGTTAGTATGAAATTTAGTTGCATCACTCGTGCGGTACGAAAGATTTCATACTAACTTTATCGGATCTCCATATCTTTACGTGTAAAAGAAGCAATTTCAAAAATTAATTACTGAAAAACGGTGCGGTGAATTTATCTGAAATTTTGGTGGTGAGCTTTTGATGTATTTATCTTTTGATAAAAAAATTTTTATAATTTTAATAACATATGAATTGTACGACCCAACTACCTTAATTATTAGTGCTCAAAAGACTGAAGTAAATGGAAAAGTATTGGAAAAATTGCATTTGTCACGAGATTTTCAGTATTAAAAAGCGTAATTAATGTAACTTGAAAGTTAAATCTTACATAACCTAAAATTATTCTACTGAGAAAAAAAATATTAGATCAGTATAAGTGTATTGTCAGTTCGATGAATTCAAATTTAAATATCGATAATATTGAATTTTACGTGTTTTCAATAAAAAAAATTTTTTACTATAATTCAAAATCTCAAAAACTTAAACTTCTAGAATAGTGATTAACAAATTATTATTTTCATTACCTCTTTTGGTGACTTCAAGCAAGACTCTCGTATAGCTTCATCAAATGTACCCGTGAAAAATTCAGGATGAATCAATCCATATCTCTTTTCAAATTGTTCCGAGAAATGCAACGTGCCCATTGTTTCATCTTCCACATTTTCAGGAACTAAATTATTCACAATTACCAATAATATAATAGTTAGTATTCTCAAACACAATAAAACAAAATAGTAAAATCTTTAACTACACGAGTCATTATCTGGTTAGAATAGATTTCTTTTTACTGTCACCAAAAATAACCTATGTATTCAAATTTGTAAGAAAATGTGTGACGTACTCAATCTCTGGAATTTCGTAGGAAGAATATTATCAATAAAAATATCATCTTCAATAATAAATGATTCGGGAACTTCAAATTCTTCAGCGTCTTCAGCTTCATCGGCTGAACTATCACTATCAACAATTACGAGATCCTAAAATCATAATATTACAGACAATGTTACATTCGTAAAGAAAATGTACATATATTTCATTACTTCATCTTTCTTTTCTTTAACAAGCGTTTGTGATACTGATAAATCGTGCTCTGGAAATGCAATGCCACTTTGAGCAAGTGTTATTTCATCGTCTTTTACAGAATTGGGCCAGCCCTTCCACTTTTGATTTCTCACAGGAACGTCTGTTAAAGTATAAACTCCAGTTTTCACATCAAGGATCGTGTGTGTTCCTGGATACTTTAAATTATATGTTTTTCCATGTACATCATCTCGTACATTTAGAATGTATGTTCGAGTTAATCGATCTGATAAGTAAGACCTGTAACAAACAATAATTATATTGGACATATTGAATATTGAAAAAAAAAGTCATATCCGCCGTTTAAATGTTTCATTAACTTACGCTTCTAAGCAAGAGTCCCCAGTTTTGACTTTAGATGTAACAAACAATGTATTATCTTGAACCAATTCAAGTGATTTCAACAGTGAAGAATTTCCAAGTGGTGCTTTTTTCCAACCATTAATTTCTTGTTCACATGGGCCGACCTTGGTTTTTTCGAATATCGCATATTTTAAATCTCCTTATTGGTGTTAAGAGACAAAAATGATTAATAATGTCATTGTTGTTACTATAATAATTAACTCATAAGCATATAAACTCTAAAAATACAGAAATTTTGAATACATACTCAAAGTACATAACTCTGAAAGATTGATCTTATAGACTGCATTTGAATAGTGAACATAGAAAGTAAGTATTTTTGGAACGTCTGAAACTTCGATATGACTTGTTCCAGGTTTAGGATTTTCAGACTTTTCTTTTGACGCAGTACTATCTTTTGGAGTTGAGGTGGTATCAGATGAAGAAAATGTTACTGTGGGAACTCCTTCCACAACTTCAACCATCTCAACATCAGGATTGATCTCAGAAGGCAATTGTTGTGAATCATGATTCATAACTGCATTAAGAGCCATCTGTATATGTACAAAAAAAAACAATTACTAATGAATTACATTAGAACTTTATCTATGATTATAAATACTATTAGCATCTAAAAGTTTTTCAAAATAGCTATCTGGAAGAAAATAACTTTTTTGGCGTAATTTAGAAGCCGTATGGTAAAAAAAAGGCATTTTTCCTTCAGGATAATTAAAATAAGAAAAAAATTTGCAATTATATGTCAATAACCATATCTCACATACCAAAGTAATTTACTTTTTTGAACTAAAAAATTATCAACTATTTAATTTTTTTTTTAGAAAATTCTATACTTAACCAATAAATCCCAATTGTTACTTTCGAGATGCATGATAGCTTCACCAACATCGTCGATTCCGCTGCAAGCCTGAAATTGATGTTATTCAATGTAACAATTTTTTGATTCACAAAATTCATCCTGACTTTATTATAAAAATAACATTTACCTGAAAATCAGCTAGAATAACCTCACGATTTTCAGACATAATTTCGCAATGCTTCAGACCGTATTGAAAAAAATGTCGTCATTTATTTTTAGTAAAAAGATAAAATAAACTTCACTGTAATTTCACGGTTATGAAAACTCATCATCATTCAAACGTATCTGAAATACCTTGACAGTAACTTATGTACACAAAGATGTATGCGCGCGTGTGTCGTGCGTATGTATGTGTGTGTAAACTTTTGTCAAAAATCCTCAACTCCTTAACTCTACAGCTTAAAATGTAGGAGACCAGAGCATTTATGACCAATTTACATCATACTTACATACATTCAATTTCAATAAACTAACCACATTTAAATAGAAACTCATCGAAAAACTATCAATAATCATGCAAATACAATCTAAAATATAAATTACTTATTTAGCGAAGAGCTTTTTTTTAACACTACACAAAGATCGTACTTGTAAGATTCGTGAAGTACGTACACGCAGAGACACTATGACAATAGAAACCTAGATTTCATTTATAGTCGCCATTTTCAGGCAAAGGGTTCAAAAAAAGAAAAAGTACCAAACGTAAATTGTTCTTATTGTTCTCACCCCGCATCTCTATGCAATATTTAGTGCAGTTTCTAAAACATCTTAATGCAATAGTATTATTCGCTCCGTGGCCAACTTATACACTTACCTGTTCTATGCATGTGTTTAGTGTCCGTGAGTATCCGTGTTTCGTCATACAGTTCCGTCTTTTTAGACAGAGGTCGCGTCTTATGGAAAATTGCATGTAGATTATTCGTCACACAGTTCGAACAATCTATCACCTCTGGCGCTACCATCGATGGCCACGGAGCGAATATGGAAACGCATGCGCACATTCATCGGTTCCAGGGGTGGGCACGTAAAATACTATACGTATTATACTTAGTTTTATACATGTATAATACACGTAAATTACCGGTTGGGTTTCTTACGTATTTTACGTTAGGTATTTCAACACCATCTACCGAACTTTTCATGAACTTAAATTAGTAAATAAATAAATATAAACTAAAAATTTATCATTATTAACCTAATATTTAATTAAATTGAAATTTTTACATTATTGATTCATAGAATTATAATATCATAAAGAAAAAAAAAATATGCAAAGAGGAGGTCGACCGAAGCACAGTTTTTGGGAAGAAGGAGGATTTCAGCGTATTCGTGAAAACGGAAAACAAGTTGCATCATGTGTAAAGTGTAAAAAAATAATTAATAATACCGCTGAACAACGATTGAAGAGTCACAGGTAAATTAAATCTTAATCTTAATTTTTTTCTATTCTCTATGATTTAAAATTATTAAACTATAAATTTATTTTATAGGAAGTCGTGTATTTGGGAAAACTCTGATTCAATTTCTGAATCGGAAGATAATTTTAATATAACGTTGTTTAAAAAACGAAGAAATCGATCTGGGAGCTATGATGACAATAATAATAGTGATCTTAAAAGAGGTTCTTATGATGAGGCTGCTACTCCATCATCGTCTATTCAATTAAAAAAGGAGAAACGTAAAATCGGTTCTTTTTGAGACTCGATAAGTGACAAAGAACACTTAAAAATTGACGAAGCTTTAAGTAACTTCTTTTATAGTAATAATTTATCATTTGATCTAATTCAAGATCCTTACTTTAAAAAATTTTGTAAAATATTACGGCTTGCATATGAAGTCCCTAGTGAAGTAAAGTTATCGACAACTCTACTTGAAAAAGCTCACGATAAATTTACTGATCGTAAAGTAAACTTGAAGGAGAAAAAGGGAACATTATTATTTTGTAAAAATGTTGCTCAAACAAATGGCTTAGAGATTATTGCTATAACAAAAACTCGAAATGATACATTATTTCTAAAGTCTTGGATCTTGGGAGAAGAATGTGATTATATAAGTAATTATTTACAAATGATTAACGAGTCAAGCTCGATCGCACTTAAAAAGTATTATATATCAGTGTACGCTGTGATATCATTCATAAATGTATCAAAAAATAATCGTATTCTTGATTCCACATCAGCTTCGCCACTTCTATCGGAATCTATATCTATGTGGCACTTCAATTGTCATTTAGAAACTGTCGATACACTTATTGCAGCAACTCATGATGATTCTTTAGAAATCAAAATTAATCGTCTGTTAAACGCGGTAAAAAGTACTGATATTGAAGAAGAATTAGTAAAACGAGGTGGAGATACTCTATCATCTGTCAAGCAAGATGCTCAGTTTTTATACTATTCCAAATTATCGGTATGTCTTAATAATTTACCTCTCCTACGTCAAATTCTTGGTGAAGGATTGGGAAAGTTTAACCGAGAAACGACATTGAATATATTCGATGATGTATTTGAGAATAATTTAAAAGAATCTGTATCAGTATTCGATTTTCTTTCAAAATTTATAACTAGAAATAGTGGAAATGATTTTAATATTGCTGACGCCATCGAGGATTGGTTTAAATTAAGATTACTACTAAAAAATGATTATTTTTTAGACATCATTGACAATGAATTAAAAAAAATCATTACTCCCCAGGCGTTGACGGCAAATTTTTTGCATCCATTATATAGAGGTAGTTATTTTATGAAAATGAGTAAATATAGTAATATAGTTTATGAATTTTTGATTGATGAACTAGATGATACAGGATTGCAGGAGTTAGAGTGTTTTAAAAATTCTAAAGGTTTATTTGCAAAGTTAATTACTAAAACTACCTGTTCAAAAACTTTATGGAGCATAGCTTCAGAACAAAATCCAAATCTTAGTATGTTGGCTCAATCATTATTAAAAATCCCAGCATATACGATAAAATTTAATCAGTATGACTTAGGTAAAAACTTACCAGAAAAATTAGTACCTAAGTTCACTGATGTTTTTTATAATCTTAAATTTATGAATGCTAATTAACAAAGAATAATTTATATAAATTTTCAATCATTAAATATATTATACAAGTATAGGAATTATTATTGAAAAATTAGATTGTTATATTGAATGTTTAATTAGTATATTTACATTTTATAAACATGTAAATAGCAATTTAATTATTTAAATTTTTCTGTGATCAATTAAAACAACTTACCTAAGGATTATATTATATACAAGATATCTTATAAGCAAATTTTAATTGTTACTTAACAGTCATTAAAATTAAATGAATGAAAATCTGTGATCAAAGTAACTTATTATTATAATTATTTTACTGTGGTAAATTAAAAAAAGTTATTCTATTTATTAAATTAGCTTATAAGCAAATTTTAATTGTTACTTAAAAATTATTAAAATTAAATGAATGAAAATCTGTGATCTAAGTAACTTATTATTATAATTATTTTACTGTGGTAAATTAAAAAAGTTATTCTATTTGTTAAATAAGCTTATAATCAAATTTTAATTATTTTTTAAAAATTTTCAAAATTTCATAAATAAATAACTGAGATTTGAGTTCTTACTAATTTTTGTAATTAGATTAATTTATTGATCTCAGTTTATGATCAAATTAAAGCAAATTCTAAACGTTATTTTACAATAATATTGAAACAAATATGTAATATAAGACTTGGATGTGGTTCTTTGTCACCACACCGGCTGTCAGTGTAGCTGTTACACACGTAACATTCGAGTGCATTAATGCCTAAAAAAACAAAAGGTCAATATAAATTTTATGAATTTACTTTCCTTACTTAATATAATTGCTCTTAGTCACAGCGTTCAGATAAGAGTTAATATTTTATTTCCAAAACCGATTAGATTACCGGAGCTCATAAAAAAATTTCTAGTTCAGTCCAGTTTAGCTCAGTTTCTCTAAAATGAAGTCGTCAGTAAATAAAATATAATAATTCAACAAAGTAACGATTTATTGATAATTTAAACAAGTAGATAAGGGTTGAATGAACGAACATCGGTTCACCAATGATTCCCTGGCCGTGGTCTGCTTGAAAATCAATGTAGCTCGGTATATACCCGCTAACGTGCCCTAGAAAGTGTATAGCCGCGGTATACCAATGACGTCGAAGCGATCGCCTCGTTCTCTTTACTCAAATTTAAACTATTACATTATTATTTTTTCTCTCTACATTCTTATCCCGTACGTTAAATAAAATAAAACATTGAAAAATAAATATCGTCTTTCTCAGAAGGAAATTATCTATCTCTACAATTTTTTTAAATGAACGAAACCATTTTATCTGTTTTTTTTTTATATTAAAATTTTTTTTACTAACTTCTTTCCTTGAAAACAAATTTTAATAAATTGTTAAATAATTTCGTCAAATAAATCCCACAAAAAATTGTAAAAGTCCGCAATGTAAAAGCTAATTAATTTAAAAATAACTAAAAATAATCATTCTTCTAAAGAAAAATATAATGTATATTATTTACATAAAATAAATTAAAAAAAAAAAAATTACAATCCTACAAATTTCTTCTGAAAACGGGGATAAAAGTATTACATAGCCTTTCGATTATTTAGTTCACTACTACCCGCCCTCGCTTGTACCCTTAATCTCACCGCTTACATCTATATTTATACATTTGAACGTATATAAGTATGTCTTATTTTTCAAACAGTAGATCGTTACGGTTACATTAGACACTATACCAGTAATTGCCGCTCCAGTTAGCACAATTGGATAATTTATAACAACAATAGTGTGACAATAAACATCTACGTGATAAACGTTTCAAGATCATTGCCTGTTTTATATTTATAATTACTACTATCTAAATCTAAGAAATAAGACCTTAACCAAGTCCCAGTTAATTCTCAGGCAAATAAATGAGCAACCGATCAAATAAAATATTTAATGTAAGGACATTCATATCTGCATCTATATTTATATATGCGAAGTTGATTTTCTTTAGCTTATACGATATAACCCAGAGATATCTTGTTCCGTTTGCCGCGCCGGGACGCGCGCACGGCCATCGTCATTGATCCGGCAGACGCCTGCGCCGCTCTAACCAAGGGGTGCGGATACAGACAAAGGGACGTCAGACTTGATAATTTCAAACTACTTGGAATGGATTTTTATGAAAACCCGAACCTTTAAGCTTTTGCAAGTGAAATTGGTAGTCACGATTTATTTGAAAATATTTCTTCTTAACTTCTTAGCTTGAGTAAAATCAATCAACAATCATCAACCCCCGGAAGACAAAGAAAAAATTTATCGCGGTCGATTGATGTTAATTAAATGTTAAAGATTAATAATTGATAAACTTACCAGACAAACCGAGTAAGAAGCAAGCACCCACGACAAGTGTATGGGCCTTCATGATTAGTAACCTTTGGCATAAAATTATATTTATTTGTTAATAATTTTGTTATGTATAATGAAGACACATATGTATTTTATTATCAATAAATTATAATGAAGAGCGTTGAATGTTAATGCAGATGATAATGAGGATTGATAAGTGCTGCAGAGCGTTGAGTGTATTATTGATGGTACTTACGACGAAAGACGTATCTGTATCACAAGTAAGAGGATTAAGTGTACTCGAGGAGTAGCACAATCAACGGTATAACTTTGACGAAGACTCGAGATTGAATGATCGAGGTTTTTATTCTTAAAGCGGGGTTACCGACCTACCGACCGAGCGACCCCACAACTTCGAGAGCTCAGACAGCACTGTTGATGTCGTCGGCACTGGTTGGCACGGCTCTGCCACCCCACGAGCGACGCTTCCCGACACCCACACCACCATTGGGGGGACCAATGTCCATGGGACAGCTAGCTTGTGTGCGCGGGAACTAGGAACCGACGCAGATGCCTGATTCGGGATCGAAAGAGACGGAGTACAGCTATATATTGTTCTATGTTGTTCCTGCTACTACGGTGCTGCTAGTGGGGATCATCTCAAATCTCGTTGCTACCAAGTCAGACCCAAAGGTCGATCGATATTTTTTTTTTGCTTATTTTGTTGTTCGCTTTATTTTTGCTAAAATATTTAATCGACATTGTTGTTGATATTTAGCTTTATGTTTATTTTTGTTAGATTGAAGAGTTTAGAATCGTGAAAATATTTGATCTTAGTGAAAGATAATTATAATATTTCAAGTGTCATTTAATATGATATAGTAAAGAATGTAGATTAGTATAGGTAGTATAAGAATTCAAAAAATTATTTTGAACATTGTGTAAATTTTAGTGATTTTTTTTTGTATTGACATAATTTATTTAAGGAGGTCCTTTCGCCGCCAATGTAAAATAAAAAATCTTAGATTATGAGTAAATTCAATTTTTTTCTAATAGTTAAGGTCTTTATTTATCTAATAGTGAGGTTTAGATTATACTTTACCGGACAAATTTTTGAGAAAATAAAATTTTTAAATGTTAGTATTTGTTCAGAGTCTTATGAGAAAGTCAGACGTTTGCAGTATTTCTCGGATTATACTATCAGTCATGGATTAGATGGAGTAAAAAAAAACTAAAAATTAGATTTTTCGAAATATTCAGGTTTCTTTTTTTGTAATAAAATATATCAGTTACCGAGATATTTATTGAGAAATTAATTTTTAAAAATCACAAAAAATTCTCAAGTAACCTACGTTAAAATGGAGTTAAAACATTTGGCAACGTTGCGTATCGCGCGAGTTTCAGACCATTCAATAAATTCAAACTAATTTATTTATTTACACTGACTGCAAAAACTTAAACGTGGTTAAGGTTATATTGTGCAAATGAAAATGTAAACAACCGAAGTACAGCGTTGCCAAATCACGGACAGGTTACTAGCAGTTGGTTTGAAAGAGTCAAATTAATTTTTGTATTTAACTATTTTTTTTTTTTTATTTTCAAAATTTCAACGATTAATGCCTCATATACTATTTATTATTTAATTTTAGGAATTTTTATGGGTTTCTTTTTTTAATTTATCGTATATTGACTACTACTACAATTGTTTTGACTCAACTGGAGCGAAAGGATTTCCTTAAATAACTATTTACCGATGACTTTGTAATCGAACTTGTGCAGTATTTTTTAACTTATAATTGCACTTTAAACATTGAGCAATATTTTTACCATTTAACTTTTCAATCACAAAATCATTTTCTTTTAAAAATGATTGATAAAGTTTTTTTCTGAATGCACTCATTTTGAGATAAAATTAAAAGTTTAGATTAGTTATTGCGAAAACTGTTGAAAGACGGTTAGAATTTTGAAAATGTACAATGTCCAATGATAACCACCAGGTGGCATACAAATCGACGTATAATTCTGGAATTTGAGTATTTTACGTAGTTTACGTAAAATACGTAGGAAACTGCTCGTTACGCGTAACTACTCACCGTGGTAAGTTTAGTCGAGTTTATGATAGCGGCTATATGTATCCGGTTATTAGTCAGGACATTTCTTGGATAATTAACCAGTAGTGTGTTAAAATAATTTTTCCATCGACGCCACCTGTTGATTAGATACGTATTAAACTACATGTACATATTTGACGCCAGACGTCATTTTAATTATTTCAGCTAGATGGAGCCACAGCTTGATGCTCAACGCTATCAACGCTAGCGTCGAGCGTCATCATGAGGTTACAATATTTTATGTGTATATTTCCGAATACCGAATACCTTTCTTTAAATGATGTCACGCGTCAATATCCTCGAAAAAAAATATTTTTATGCGATAAAATAACACTATAGACTTAAGTTAAGGGTAAACCGTAGTTGATGTATTTTTATAAATTTTATTTTTCTAATTACTTCTTAAATAAATTATGAAATCAAATAAAATAAAGTTTCCTGAAAATAATAACATACGACCTGCTATTGCGGAAGCTTTACAATATAATAGGTCATTTAACAATTTTTTCAAATCGTAAATAGAAAAATAAAATTTAATAAAAGACGGGCACATTAATAAGTCTACCAGTTACTTCTCTACCCTTTTAACACGTCTACCATAACAAACTATACCACAACAATCTCTACCGTTAATATCTCTACCAAAATCAATATCAACCATATAAAATAATATAAAAGCCTACCATTTTACATCTCTACCAGTTTAATATCTACCAGAAACAACTCAACCACATAACAACTATACCAAAATGAATTTATACCAAAAAATAACTCTACCGTAATACAACTCTAACATTTTTTAAGTCTATTAAATTAAAACTCTACCATTTCAAACACTACCAATTTTTTGCAGTAAACGGTGAAGAAAATATTACTTAACGTTCGTTGGTACAGTAGTGAATCACCAATCTTTAAAAATTATCTAGATATAATTTGAATTATGGCGGCAACTGATAAATCTAATACAATTGAAATTTTCAGTATTAATAAAAATCGGCTTGTTTACTTAATAAATAATAAAAATGAGCAGCTTGCAGAGCTGCTATGCGATTTTATTTGCACATATTTCAAATACTTTTTTTTTTTTAAACAGGTAGACGGCTGTATACATACTCACTATTGTTTTTCATTTCTTAGAAATGAAAATTGAGAATTGAGAATAACAAAACAAAAATATAAAAAGAAATAATATACTTAATTAAGTACTATTAATTTAATTATTTTTCATTATGTCAATAAACTATAAATTTCTTATAAATAAAAAAATGATGACAGTCAAGTATTGTGAAATTAATTGTTACAATTTTTTTTAGCCAAGAAGTTGTTGGAATTTATCTGTCTTTAATACAATTTTAAAAAAATAATTTTCTAGACCTTGTTTACTTTTAAATAATAATAAAATAAATTTTAAGTTTCTGCCCATTCCAATGATGCTGAAATTTAGAGACATTTAATAAATTTTAATAAATAAATTACAGCAAGAAAAATTTGTTTCAAAAATTTTATTTTTAAGTTCGAAAAAATTATAAATTTAATTTTATTTTAGTTAAATGATTGAATTAATTGTTTTTTTATTTAATTAAATAATTTTATTCTCAGGCACGAAGGAAGGTCTGAAAGACATGTTGGTGGCATTGGAAAAGTACGCTGATGGCAATGACTTGGTGATCAACACCAAGAAAACTAAAGTCATGATCTGCAGTCAAGGAAACCACACAAAGGACGAGAAAAACTGGCTCTACAAAGGGGAGAAGCTAGAAACAGTGAAAGAATTCAAGTAATTTAATTTTTTTTTTTTTTTGATTTATTTAATAGTCGCATAAACAGCATGGTCATGAGCGACTTCAAGATTACAAACAATGATAAATAGTTATAAATTATATTTCAAGTACACATAGAAAATACTAAAGTGAATATTTTAAGCAGTTATACATGGTTAATTTAAAGATTTCAAATCATACTGTAACTGGTGAACCAATAATTGTTAAATATTTGGACTACAATTTAGAAATTTTGACTAGATTATATTTTTGTGAAAATTTTTAATGACTTTAATGTTTTTATCACATCCTGGAGGTACTTCTCGTCGCTCAGGCACGTGGACAGGTCCATTGGGGCGGTGTTGTAGTAGTAGTAGTAGTAGTATTAGGCTCTGGGTATTTTCCCATTTGGCCGCTGTACTTGATGGATTGGGGCGGTGTTGAGTGGACATTCAGCCAATATGTGGTGTACAGTTATTGGTGCGTTGCATTTTGGACATTTAGTATGGGTCTCTCGTGACATCAGGTAGTTGTGAGTAATATAGGTGTGACCTATTCTTAGGCGGGTGATTATGGTTTGGATTTTGCGATTTGATGACTTTGGAGGTATTTCCCATACATTAGCTCTTACTTGGTGTAAAAGTGAATCTGAGCTCATCCAATTTCCATTCCATTTGGCCCATATGTAGGCATTGACTACTTTTTTAAACTCGTCAGGTGTTGCTTGTTCATTTGTTGTTAAGGTACCTTCTGTTAGGGCTTTTTTTGCCGCCAGGTCTACTTCTTCGTTGCCCTGGAGACCTTGATGAAATGGTAGCCATGCTAGTATCGTGTGGTATTGTCTGTCATTTAGTTGATGCAGTTTACTTTGAATTTTTATAATTCTGGGGTCTTTGTTAGTGGTATTTGAAATGACGTCGAGTGCTGATTTTGAATCAGTTAAAATTATGGCTTTTTGGATGTTGTTCTCGATTATATGATCGATTGCTTTTTTGATTGCTATTACTTCGCAAGAAAAGATGTTAGTAAAGTCTGGTAGATGGTACATGAAAGTTTGGTCGTCATGGATAATTCCACAACCTTTTTTTCCATTTTTTACTGAGCCATCGGTGTATAGTTTACAGTATCCATTGTATTTATCATACATTTCTGTAGTGAGGTTGCTATAGGTTTGTTTAGTTGTGAGGTCTTTACCGAATGAATTATTGTATACATGGAGATCAATTAGGGGCTCAAAAAATTCCCATGGTGGAATTGGGTGTATCATACGCTTGTGGACTGCTATATTGGTGAACATTGGATCATTGATGATATTATTAAGTCGGTCGCATACTGGAAGGTAGTTTTTCTTCGTTTGTCTAATTTCTACTTGTATTGTTGTTGTATTTGAAGTGTGGAATGGATTATTTGAGTGACATGGGCTGTGGGCCATATATTTGAGAGTTAGTGCTGTTCTTCTCAGGTCTAATGGTAGTTCCTGGCTTTCAGCAAGGATGCTTAGTCTTGGACTGGTGCGAAAAGCACCAGTTGCTATTCTCAATGCCGTAGTTTGGATAGAGTCCAGCGGTTTAAGTGTGCTTTTAGTAGCTGAGCCGTAGATTGTTGCTGCATAGTCCAGTTTCGAGCGGATCACTGCTTTGTATGTTGTAATTAGCACTTCTTTGGATGCTCCACGGTTGTTTGCTGCTAGTGTTTTTGGGAGCTCAGTGTCCCCCAGTACGAGTTTTGTTATTGGAGTTTTTCTTAGTCTCGAGAATATCATGTATTCAGACTTCGAGGATGAGAATTTAAATCCTGTTAACTTACGTACAGCATTCTGTTATTTATTGAGGCCGTCCTGAAGAATTTCTATATTTGAATTGATTCCACCGGTGCATAGAAGAGAGATGTCGTCGGCAAACGCTCTGGTTTTGATAGGTTTAGGCATCATAGATATTATGGGGTTAATAGCTATTAAGAAGAGTGTCACGCTTAAGACTGATCCTTGTGGGAAGCCGTTGGTTAGTTCTATCAGTTGGGAGAGAGTTGTTCCAATGCGTACTTGTATTTTTCTGTTAGTGATGAAATTTTTTATAAAATGAATTATATGGCCATTAAACCCTTGTTCAATTAATAGCTCCATAACTCGGTAGACCCAGGCCATGTCATACGCTTTTTCGATGTCGAGCGAGACCACTATTGCTTGTAGATTATTTGATAAGGCGTTACTGATGTCAGAGTGAATTCGGTTGAGGTTGTCTGAGGTAGATCTGAAGCTGCGGAATCCATATTGATCGCTGGATATGAAATCTTGTGCTTCTAAAGCCCATTTGAGCCGGCGGTTAATCATTTTTTCAAAGATTTTACATGTACAGCAAGTTAAAGAGATAGGGCGGTAGTTGGATGCGTTGGAGTGGTCTCTATTTGGCTTGGCTATTGGGATGACTATTGCTTGTTTCCAGATACTAGGGAATGTATGTGTTGTCCAGATTTTATTGTAGAGCTTCAGCAGGTATTGTAGGCCGTTTTCAGGTAGACTTTTTATCAGCGCTGTTGGTATGTTGTCAGGTCCTGGAGTGTCTTTTTTACATTGACTAAGGGCTATTTTGAGGTCATTCATGTTGAACTCCTTATTTATTGATATCATGTATTGTTGTCTTGGCTCTTTATTGGTTGTAATTAGTTCGTCTATGGTAGTATTGTTTTCTTTATTGTGTTTGTACTCAAGGAATTCCTCGGTATGGTTGTTGTCGCTGGAGTTATTAGCGAAGGTATTTGCTAAGATGTCAGCGATGTCCGAGCTTGTTGCGGTAATTTCATTGTTTCCATTTTTTAATGGTGTTACGTGGAATTTGGTTGTTTTACCTTGGAATTTTTTATGAAAATTCCAAAAGGTAGTGATGGAGGTGTTGCAGTTGAAGGAGGTGAGTAGGTTTTGCCAGGATGACTGGTAACTTTCTTTGATAGTTCTTCGGCATTTTGCTCTTGCTTTTTTGTAGGTTATTTTATTGTCTTCGTTGGGTTGTTTTTTTAATCTGTTGAAAGCTTTTTTTTTCTTTTAATGCATTGCTGCAATTTTGGTTCCACCATGGTATCTGTTTTTTGTATTTGAGATTTCCACAGGTGGTTTTAGGTATTGCTGTTTCAGCGGCTTTGTTGATGACGTTCATGAATTCATCAAGTATTGTGTCAATGGGATCTGTGGAAGCATAGGGGTCGATGATATTGTTTATAAGGTCTTGAGCTGTTGATTTATATGAGAGCCAGTTTGCTTTTTTAAGATTCCATTTTGATGTGGTAGGGTTTGGTTCGTAGCTTAGGTCGGTGAACAGTTTTATGTTGATTGGGTAGTGGTCACTGTCATAAAGATTGTTTAGAGCCACCCATTCGATTCTACTAGCTATTGTTGGACTACACAATGAGAGATCGATGCAGCTATCTGTTCTAGATCTTACCGAGAAGTGAGTCGGGCTGCCGTCGTTTAGCAATAGGAGATCGGCGTCGTCAATTAGTTGTTCTGTTATTTTCCCTCTTTGGTCTGTGAAGTTTGATCCCCACAGGCGGTTGTGACTATTGAAGTCTCCTCAAAAGCATGTAAGGTTTTGGTAAGCTGTTTATAATCTTGGTGATTTCTACTGGGTTTAAAGGTTGACTATTTGGTAAGTAGAAGTTGCATATTGAGATTTTAGTTGGTGATTTTATTGTAGTAGCTATTGCTTCAAGTGGTGTATTTAGGAGTATTTCCTCAGCTAGCATATTTTCTTTAACATATATAGCGACCCCGCCGCTTGAGTTTATGTAATCTGAACGGTTTTTTTGAAATTTAGTATAACCTTTCAGAGTGCCATTTGATTTATCGTTGAAATTGGTTTCTTGGAGGCATAGGATGTTAGGAAGGAAATCGTTTTGTAACATTTTTAAGTGCTCAAATCTTGTGAAGAAACCGTTTATGTTCCACTGAATTATATTTAGATGTTGATGAGTGTTGGTCATTTTACGTGATTAAGGATGTGGCGTGGGCTTTCTCAGTTTCAGAAGTGCCTAGCATCTGATGCCTGGGAGTCGTAGTCGGATTCGGTGTCATCGGCAAGTTTTGTCCCAAGTTTTTTTATTATGGAACTGAATCTGTATTTTGCCCTTTGGCTCTGTAGTCGTTCGTAGAGATCTCTTAACATGATAATTAGTTGAGTGGGTTCTACCAAATAGTCTGCTGCTGCTGTTTTCGGATGAACTTTATTTATTACTTTGTCCATGAAGTTACATAGCTGTAGATAAGAAAGTGGATATTTATGTGCATTTTTAGTCATTTCATTTTCGAGTTCGTTTAGTGTTAGTGGGTCTTTGGAGTTTTCATTGGATTTATTTTTCTTTGTTTTCTTTCTTTCTACATTGATCAGCCGCTTTGATATCCCGAAAGTCCCCGTTGGTGTTATGAAAGGTGTATTATCGTTGCCTACTGTAGAGGGGGTCGATTCGGTGTCAGAGTGTAAACGTTTGTTAGCTGTTTTTTGAGACTCGGGGGATTCATCGAGTTGCATTAGTTGATTGTCATCGGGGATGTTAGTCGACGAGGTTGATGTTTGAGGTTCTATTATCGTTACCTTATCTACAAGGTCTGCTGGACTTAGTTTTTGCTTTCCTAGTATATTGTCAGGTACTTTCTTTTTTAACTCAGGAAATTGTTTGTTTACATTTACTTGGTTGTTGTTTAGATTAGTTTCTTCCTTCTCGATGTTTTCAGGGCAATTTTTTGCCTGATGTCCGATTTCATTGCATGTAAAACATTTTACCTGATCACTGGAGAAGTAGATCCAATAGTTTGTATCATCATAGTTGATTCGAAGTTGTCCTGGTACTTTCTCAGCATCATCAGGTTTTACATACATTTGACGACGGAAGCTAAGGCAGTGTGCATATTCTTGGTCACTTACACCTGCTCGAAGTGACAGAATGCCCGATACAGGTTTAATATCACATGTACTTAGCAATGCTTGCTCGATGATATCATTTGGGATAAACGGTTGGACATTAGAAATTATAATCCTCTTATTTTGTGAGAATAGGGGTCTTATCGATAATCTGTTATGAATGTAAATGTACTTGTGAGTGTTGATTAGAGTTTGTGCTAGTTCGTTACTTGAGACATAGATACAAATATTCTATCACGTGAAATTTTTGATACATATGTTACGTTTTTTGGTCCGATTTTTTTACCGATTTCCTTGCAGTATTCGACTATTGGTACTTTATCAACAGCCTCAATTATGATGGCTTGTTCCTTGGTGGGACGTTCTGTGGCTGTGGCATACGATCTTTTCTGTTGGGATTCCATTTTTTAGATACTACTCTTCTCTTCAAGAAGAGTAGATCGATGAAGGGTTATGGTAACCCTGGAATTTGGCTGAAGACACTTGTAATGAACACAGGGATGTAATGTACAATAGTCACTATAAACTGAGTAAACTCAAACTATACTAATTAATACTATCACGACAACTCGCTATATTAATAATACGTCCGTCACCTTCGGGTGTCAACCGTAAACTGTGAATTTAATTTTAAAATTATTTTAAAATCTATCATTTTAAAAATAAGAAGTTAATAAAAATAAAGTTTAAAATAATAAAAACTATGTTAACTACCATAAGTATACTAACATAAGTATATTTAACTAAAATAAAATTGTTACGTACTTATTGATCATTAATAAAAATAAATAATTCAAAGCCATAATAATTTGCAGAAGTATATTTTTTTTTAATAAAATAATAAATCAATTTTAAAATTTTCAAAGAAAGTAATTAAATTTTTCAGCTACTAATAAGTATACAGCACCACACACTGTAAAAAAATCCCATGAATTTATAAAACAAAAAAAGAATTTTTTTGTTAAAGAAAAAGTTTATTTTAAAGTGAAGAAAAAAGAAAATTAGTAACGTGATTGATTTATTGTAATTAAAGACAATCAGATGATTTGTTAAATATATAGCAAATTAAAAATTAATCAAAAATATTACATAAAGAAAAAAAAACATCAAGTACAGATTAACAAATTTAAAACTATCAAAAAAACTAAATCAACCTTTAAATAATTTTTTTTTGTCATAATTTATTTATTCAAAAAATTTTTAATAATTTTATAGCTATAAAAATTGACATTTAGAAATTTAAAAAAAAATAAAAAATGCAATTTTTTTAAATAAATTTGTTAAAGAAAATTAAAAAATTGTTAAGTGACAGATAAATTTAATGTCATAAAAATTTTTAAGTATTTTATTTTAACATAATTGATTGGTTAAAAAAATTATAACTAACTTGATAATTTTTTAATTTTATTTAATAAAAGAATATTTTCTGAACAATTACTTTAAAAAAATTGCGTTTATAATTTTTTAATATTTTTTTCTTATTTGTTTGTCATATTTTATTTGATAAAAAAAAGTTATAAAAATTTTTAAATATCTGTTAAATTAATTATAAAAAAATTTACTAGTTGTTACAATTTTTTTAATTAATAAAATAAATACTCCAGGAGTCGAACATGACAAATGAAATCCGTCATAAAATAGAAGACCGCTGGAAAGACAAAACATTATCTCAAAAATCAGAAACCAGGACTGGAGAAAAATATTATGTCCTGTCAATGTTTCCCTATCCGTCTGGAAGCTTACACATGGGCCACGTCAGAGTATACGCGATCTCCGACGCAGTATCCAGGTTCCACCGTCTGAAGGGTCGACACGTGATCCACCCAAAGAGCTGGGACGCGTTTGGCCTCCCAACAGAAAACGTGGCTATGGAGAGGAAGATTGACTCCCAAGAGTGGACCGAGAGCAACATCTCGAACATGAAGACCTAGTTGAAGATTCTGGGATTGCGAGTTAGCGACTTGCCATCCGGAGTACTACCGCTTGATCCAAGAGTTGTTCCACAAATTATTTGACCACGCGTTGGCTTACCAGAAGCAGTACTTTGTAAACTGGGATCCCGTGGACGAGACTGTGCTCGCTGATGAGCAGGTAGATCCGAATGGAAACTCTTGGCGCTCTGGAGCTAAGGTTCAGAAGAAGCTTTTGAAGTCGTGGTTCATTCGCACCACAGCCTTTACCAAGTCTGATTACTAATATGCCCGGGAAGCTTGACAGCTTCAATATCTAAACAGACAGGCCTGAGTTTATTGAACTTGCTAAATTTGTTGCTGTGTCTAGAGATAATTTTTTAACGAAATCTAGGATTAATAATTTTGATGATCCGGAGTTGGAAACTGTGTTTTTAGATGCTATGGATTTTAATCTGTTAAATAATCAGGAAAATCCAGTTTATTTAACGAAAAATTTTGAATTATCTCAGCTTACAGATAACCGATTAACAATTCCAGGTAATTTATTTTTATTAGAATTATACTTTATAAACCTTAATTTATTTTAAAATTTTGTGGCCAGTATATTTGTATTAGTATTTAGGCTGCATTCGATAATGCTCCATCTTTAGATACATAATTAAGAAATGACCTTATATCTTGTGAACTATTGAGATTTTTAAGGATATAAGATCATCCCGATGCTACACTCATCGAGACCTTTCATTCGAGTATCCACATCAATTTTTCATATATTTTATATATTGTATATATCTATTTATGAAAAATATATCAAAAATGCATGTGGGTACTCAAATGGAAGCTCTTGATGAATGTAACACCGGGATGAGCTTATATATTCAAAAACATTGGGTCATTCCATGACAAATCGACCAGTAGTTGGAATCGACCCCTTTCAATTTGGATGAATTTTGGTCAGAAGTTTTCTTTTATCATAAAACGAAGTTCTGCCAAAGGAAAAAAAATTTTTTTCGAAAAATATACAAATTCAAAATTTCGCGATTTTTCCAGTTTTTCAATTTTGTTTTTGTAATATCTCGAATGCTATTATAGATACAGGAATGGGCTTTTGTTTGTTTAAAAGGGGAGACTTGGGGCTATTGAAAAAAAAATATTTTGAAAAAAAATTTCGAAAAATGCCAAATTTGTCAAATTTTGAATTTTTGAAAATTGTCAAAAATGAAAACCGCCATTAAAATTTTGGCTCAATTTTTTTTGTATGATACCTTGTAATGATCTTAAAAGATCCTGAAATTTTTGGATAGGGGTTTTTTTTTTTTCAAAGATATATTTTTGAATTTCAAAAAAAATTTTTTGAATTTCAGAAAAAAATTTATTTTTGTTTTTTGCAACTTCTATACAAGTTAAAGTTATGCAGATACATAATATTGTAATTTTTAGTATTTAGAAATCAAATGCACGACGGGAAAATATTAAATAATAAATTAATTTCAACTTTTATTCATTTTTTAGACATAATCTTGCATCCTTAACGCATGATAGAATTTGTTAATTGTCCATTTTTTACTTCATTTAAAGTTGTTGATGCCACTTGACGTCTTATTAACATGGGAATAATTTGTAATTTGAGATTGAGAACTATGTATGTGCAGAAATTCGTAAGTAAATAAGTATTCGAAAGAACGAAAAAAAATTGATATTCTCATGAAATCATTTCTAATTTTTATAGAAAATTGATATCTGTTTGAGTTATTTGAGGTTAAAAATTGTAATTGAAGTGAAGAAACGCACAAAATATATCATGGATTAAGAAAATAAAAAAAAGTTTGGTTTTTACATAACAACATTAAATAAAAATTATTGTTTTTCAAACTAGAGTTCCGGGAGTGGAGACATTTTTTTTTTAATTTCTTCCTCTTTGAGGATCTTTTTTCCGATTTTCGATATCACCTATAGTTATTGAGTTATTTACGAAAAACTGCGATTTTTTATTTTGTTGCTTGAATAATAAGTCAATGCCTGATGGACGAGTCCATGCTAGCTTAATAGATCTGTTTTTTGTTAATAACAAATTGAAATTTTTATCAAAAAAAAAAAAACAACATCATTATGTTCAGAATTTAATTCCGCAACGAATGGGTGGTTGTTTATATTTTTATTACAATTTCTTAGACTTTTATCAGCAAATTTACACAGAACTCTCAGAAAAATTTTCGTTACTATGTAACATAGTAATGGTTACCATTCTACATAGGAATAAGATCTATTCTTTTCTCTCCGTGTAACTTCATTGAAATTATTGATGTAATTGAACCTATACTTTATAACTGTAGATGACTTTTTCATTATTAAACAAATAATGATTTGACATAAATAGGTAGATTTCTTGCATATATTTCAAGTATATTTCAAATGTAAGCAAATTATATCGACGGTCTAATTAGCAATTGGTCTAACTCCTTATTTTTTAGAAGATGATTTTTTAACATTTTGATGTAGCAATAGTTCAATTATAAATTATTTGAATGGTCCAAACCAAAATATGGTGCATTAATAGATTCGTTTAATATATTATACTATATTATATATTTAATACGTTTTACTTTGAAAACTGTTTAACTACTCGGTATTTTACGTCATACGTATTGACAAATTCACAATACACTTGACTCGTGGTTGTCAGGATTCGAAGTTTCGTGAAAGTAATGTAATTGTTTTGTACTTATCACAATACTACGTTCACGAACCACTGGATAGCTACCAGCGCCATATTTTTTTTCCGTGTAAGAAATAATTGTCTAGAGTTCCGTTATGGAAATTTTAAATTTACTAGAATTCAGAAAATTATTACTACCAGTCAGATATTTAGAAATGTCGAAATTCAACCTTTCAAAAAATAATAATCTATATGACCGTTTCTCTCAAAAGTACAACTTGTTGAAAATTCTCTCAAAAATTTGGAAATTGTTTAACTGTTGATAATTTTTGTGACTAGTACACATGAATGTGTTTTTAACATTCGACGCTACAATGTTTTTTTTAAGCTACACAACGAAAATTGAATAACGAACTGACATGAATTTTAACATTAAATATTCACTACAAACAGTTTTTTTTTCGACATAACACAGTATATAACACAGTAAGTACTAAACCTTCGGCGATTTTTTCTTAATAAATTCAGATGAACGATTTAATAGTTAAGCGAAAAATGCCTATCATCGTGGGAGGCACAAATTATTATATTGAGTCACTACTCTGGCATATTCTTCTTGACGATCCTGAAGCGTCTGGGATGTCGAAAAAGAGAAACGATAGTCAAGTTTTCGATAGCCCAATAACTAATGATTTTGAATTGAATGATGATGATAAAGACAAAAGATTTGTGACCTTAAAAAAAATGAAGTACGATGATAATGAGCATTCAAATGAAACATTGCATAAAAAATTAGCATCAGTAGATCCGGAAATGGCTCGACGTTTACATCCTAATAACAGAAGAAAAATTATCAGGTAAGTTCTTTATGATTATTTAAATTACGTTTTTGAAATATTAAATTCCCATGTTCATTTTCTAGTCAAAATAAGATAATATTAGCTTAAGGTAGTTGGATCAATGGCAGTACTTTCATCTCGGATAAAATTTTATCTCGGATTGAAAAACTGGCCCTAATTGTAAAACGTCCCAAAACCCCATGTTATTTAAATGAGAAATGTATCGTCTTTGTGGCACGGTTCAATATCAATATTAAGGGCTTATATGGGTCTGATATTTTTTAATAGGTCACGAACTAAAAATCTAATGGGCACTGCAAAGTCAAAAACCAAATTGGTAAATAACGGACACCCTAATATAACATATATGTTAATTTATCTAAACTAATTTTATGATGAAAATTTCTCTTCATAAAATTTACTTGAATTTTGTATTCTCTAACTGATAATTTTGTTGAATGATAATAATTTTATAATTTTCAATAAACCAGATTTGAAAAAAAAAAATTGTTATTTAATTCTTACAATTTGAATTGATCGCGGCGACTTTGGGCGACTTTAGCGCCACAGGTCGGCTACGCGCTGAAAAGAAAGTCTGGGTACCCTGTACTCCATAGTTGATGACAACGAGTGCATTTATTTATTCAACAGAGTGGTGTTTACATCAACATAACCTCTAATTTGCATCTTTTAATGAGTTCGATGGTGATAAATCCTGATAATTTCGATAAAATCATGGATCAAAGTTGAATATTATCAATCAAGCTTTTAATGCCAATTCGTTGAAAGCACAGAAAACTACAATAATTTTTCGAAAGCTAGAAAAAAATAATTTATCAATAGCATCAGTACAAATATCAAAGTATTAAATTGCTTCGATCTATTTCTTTAGCTCTAACTCATCGTTTCATTGTTTTTTATTTTCATTTTATTTTTGTCAAAAACAAATTATGTTTTTATCTTTATTACGAGATTGGAAATATACCTTTCGAACATTTAATCTTCATAGAGGAGGAATTTCTCCCGTACGAATTTATAACTTACATTTAATAACTGTGATAGTCATATTACTTATTACTTTTTTTTTGTATAATTATCTTTCTACATTTAATACTGTTTGTTATGAAAATGATAAATTAATGACATGCTTGGATTATTATAAATATAATTCAACTTATCCTCTTACTGCTCCGATAGCGAAACCAACAGGAATAAGCTATAGAATTGCAATTATTAGTGATCTCGACTTGAAGGCTAAAAGTCTTCTTCATAAATCATGGATTAGCTTTTTGAAAAAAGGAATTCTTTCTTGGGATCCTCATAATGATAAAATTCACATTAGTTGGGAAAAAAAAGAGCTTTTACTTTCCTCATCATTTGTAATTAATGATAGAGGTATGGAGTTGTCCGAACTAATAACTTTTGACGGTCGTTTATTAAGCTTTGATGATAGAACCGGTATTGTTTACGATATAGAAGATAAAGCTTATCCATGGACTATTCTAATCGATGGCGATGGTCGCAGTTCGAAAGGTACTTTTTTCACATTTTCATTGAGTTTATTCAACTTACATATTTTAATTTTTATTTTAGGATTTAAATCAGAATGGGCGACAGTGAAAAATAACTTCTTATATGTTGGTAGTATAGGTAAAGAGTGGACTTCTTCGTCGGGAGAGTTTATTCACAATAATCCTATGTGGATTAAAATTATTTCTCCACGTGGAGAAGTAAAATCAGTTAATTGGATCAATAACTACAAAAAACTAAGACAAGCTGTTAATATTGAATTCCCTGGTATGTTCCTTGTAAAATATAAGATTAATTCATCTAATAAGTAGTTTTAATATTTTTTAGATGATATTTTCTCAAGTGTTATAATTTTTAATTGCTTGTTTAAAAATTTTTGCAGTATTAAAAAGCTTTTTCATCTCCATGGTTATAATGATCATCATGAATATTTAAATATTTTATACTGATAACTAAATATCGTTGCTTTGATTGGGAACTTTTGCAATGCAGTTGTTACCTAAATCAGATGTTGAGTTTCTGCAGTAAATACTCCCTTCTAGAGTTACCTTGGAGTATCCGTAAAGTTTGGACGATATTTCAGTAGTAGAAACGCGGAATTTAGTCTGTAATTACACGAGGTCCCTACCACATATTGTCAGAGTTTCGATGTCATTTGTTTAGTATTCTTACGGGATTTTTGTATATTTTAATTGTTGTTTTCTCGAGGTTTAATCACGGTTTTCGTGGAGCTTTTTCGGGGTAATTATTGAGTTATTAGTCTTTTATTTCATCTAAATATGATTAAATAAGAATAATTTTTCCAACAGAAAAATTATTTAACAATAAATTGTCAGTTTTTTTTTTTTAAGATTGTTAATATCGGTAATGATAAATTTTCTTACTAAATAAATTGATAAATTGTAATAATATAGTTTTCTCTTTATTTTTGTAGCAACGTTAGTGTTCAAAATTATATAAATATTATTTTAAAAGAAACTATGATAATTAGGGTGTCCGTTATTTACCAATTTGGTTTTTAGTAGATTTTATAAAAATCTAACTATTGTATTTGTCCTCATGACGTAAATTTCCATAAATTTTGCTATATTTTGACCTAACTCGACGAACTGAGTCAGAAAATACATATGGTTCGAAAGTTTATATATATATATATATATATATATATATATATATATATATATATATATATATATA